GAGGATATTCTTATTCTTATCCAGGATTGACATTTATATTCACTCTAAAATAGTCCTAAAATTTTGCTAATCCCATCATGGTATAAAAACCACTGAGCCAATCTTGATTCCTAACTTGGATGATCCCAATAAGAGAGAAAAGCTAGAGATGAAGACATCTAAGAAAGTGAAACATACTAGTATCCTGCAGAAAATAAAATTATTAAAAAAAAAACTTAAGGTTGTAGAAGGAATGAATTTTTATGGCTCTACAGATGCAGCTGAGCTTTGGTTAGTCCTAGACGTGGTCATTTCACCTAAATTCAAGGTTTCTAAATTTGAAAAATATGATGGTACAAAATTTTTAATGATTTATGTCACCATTTATTATCATAAGATAGGGGCATATACTCATGACTAGAAGATATTATTGCACGTATATTAGGATAGCCTTATAAGTTCTATAGTCAGATAGTATATTTAACTAGATAGGACTCATATTCATTTATGATAAAACTTACAAGGGCATTCTTTACACAATACCAGCATGTTATATATCTAGCTTTAGATGATCTATCTCTCCAGAGCATGGAAAAGAATATAATAGAAAAATTTTAAGAGTACTCACAAAGATGGAGAGATATGGTCATACAAGCACAACCTCCCATCACTAAGAAAGAGACAACTATCCTATTTGTAAACACCTTGAAAGCACCTTACTATAAAAGAATGATAGGTAATGCAACTAAAAACTTTACAGATATGGTGATATCAAGTGAGATTATTGAAAATGTCATAAAAAATAACAAGCTCAATATAGGATAGATAAGCGAAGTAAAGAAAGGCAGATCTCTCAAGAAAAAAGAAAATGAAGCTAAACAGTGAACTATGTAGGTCAATAGTTCAAAGGTTTCACGTCATACCCTACACCAATGTGCCAAATCCATTACCCTCCTATAAACAATGTTACATCCATCCCTCATCCGTATCAATTGTGTCAGCTACTACAACAACCAACTTATTCACCTTATTTTCAACCATCTTTTCAAATACCCACCTATTTATATAATCATCTTGCTATACCTACTAGATCATAATGAAGACCCAATCCAAGTAGTAGTCTGAGAACCCCAAGAAATACCTAAAAAAAAACCATTTTTGACCCTATCTTTATGATATATACAAATTTGTACCCTCAACTTGTTGAAAAACATTTACTAGCCCTTGTTATTGTTGAACCTTTGAAAATGGTATGATCCAATGTGCATTATGATTATCATTATGAAAACCCAGGTCATTCTATGAAAAATTACACTACTTTGAAGCGTAAAGTGTAAGGGTTAATCAATGAGAGGGTGTTAAACTTTGATACTAGCAAACGAGGGACTCCAAATATTAATGGAAACCCTCTACCAAATCATACTAGACTATCAATAAATGCTTTGATTAATGGGCAAGCAAGTTATGTAAAAAAGGGGATAGATGAAGCCAAAACTTCAATGACTAAGGTGTTTGAAGCCTTAGTCAAGGCTGATGTGTTGAAGTTAATAGAGCTTCAAAACTACTTCAAAAAAATTATCTCAACCGAGAGCTACAATTATCAAAAAAATGTTTCAAGGTATTCTTTTAAGAATTGTGACCAATTTCATCAAGGTGTCCAAAAGTTGATGGATATAGGTTAGATAAAGCTTTACAAAGAAAGAGAAAAATTGATGAAAGCTGAAGTGTCTACCATTAATTCAAAGAATAAGTTTGTGCATAAATTGATAACTATATATTATGATAAGAAACCGACCTCAAGACCAAAAAAGCCTATCTCTCGATTAGTAGTGACAATTAAAGTCTCTAGCCTTTTTTCATACCAAAATGACAAAGCAGTGCTATGAAAGTACAATTATGACATCGTAGTCAATCTAGATGCTACAAACATAATAGGTATAGGAGGTATGACCCGAAGTGGGCGATGTTACACTCTAGAAATGCTAGAAAAAGCTAAGAAAAAAAGCAAAGGTCAAGGAAGAAAAGGGAAATTAGAGTAATCTTATGACAGTCCTTAATAAAGAATGTCAAAAGCCAATCTTTAGGAATGAAGCTTGTGAATTTTTAAAACTACTAAAATATAGCGAGTATAACATAGTAGAACAGTTGAACAAGATGCTAGCTAGAATTTTGCTATTGTCATTGTTACTAAGCTCAAAGTTGCATTGTAACACTCTATTAAAGGTGTTCAATCAAATATATGTGTCCTACAATATATTTGTTGAGTACGTGAAATAGCTTGTTGGCAATCTAGTAATTTTCAAACTATATCTCTTTGAGTGATGAAGAGATTCCTCTTGAAGGTCGAAAGAAGTACCAAGGCTCTCCATATTACTGTAAAATGTAAAAGTCACATAATGGCTAAGGTTCTGATTGACAATGGCTTATCAATCAAAGTTATGCCCATAATCTACTTTGGCAAAACTACCTGTTGATGGATCTTACATAAAACCTCATCATATGTAGTTTCAAGCCTTTAATAGACCGAAAATAGTGCTAAAAGATATAAAAATTCCATTACAAATTGGCCTTTGCACTTTCAATATGAAATTTCAAGTTATGGATATCTCCCTTTCATACAGTTGCTTGGTGGGTAGGCCATGGATTCATATGACAGGTGCTGTTCCATCTTCATTACACTAGAAAGGCAAAGTCATTATTAATGGAAAGCTTACATGTGTGGCAAAAAAATAAGATTTACTGGTAACCCAATCGATAAATACTTCTTATGTAAAAGTGCTAGATGAAGCCTCGAAGTACTTTTTTAGATCTTTCGAGATTGCCAATGTAATATATATGGCTGAAAGATCTAAATTATATTCATCGCACCTATCTACAACTATTAAAATGATTGTTAAGCAACTTATCAAAATGGGATGGCAACCTGGAGCTAGACTTAGAAAGAATTTGTAAGGAATCACGATGCCTCCAACACCATATGATAAAAAAATAGATTCAGCTTGGGTTATAAACCAACAAAAGGAAACATAATGAAAATCATGAATAAGAAAAAAGAAAAAAGAATGGCTAATCTTGGGGGATATGAGCCAGAATTTGAGTTGATGGTCATTATCTCTATGATTCTTTTCATTTATGAGGTTATATTTACCTAGATTCATTTGAAGCCCTAAATGCAAAGTTGATTGAAACTTTTTTGAGCTAGCCATTCAGATTATATATAGGAAAAAAAAGAAAAGTTAGGATGAAGAGCTGTTAATGCGTGCTTACCCTTCAAATTTTGAGCTAGATAATTAGAAAGTCATAAAGCTGCATGTTATCTTTAAAACTTTTAAAAAATAATTTATTGTGAAACTTTAAATTCTTAATTGCTCTCTATAAGCATTAAAAAATCTTTTGTGGTGTATTTATGTTTGTCGTTATAATAAAAGACTTAGAAGATGCGTCTGCATTTCTATTTATTTTCATTTTCATTTATACAATCCATTTTTTTTTCATTATGCCCTAATCATTTTCTTGCCATTCCACTTTTGAGTACCAATATTCTCTTCATCTCATCTTTTGTAGGGCCTCAAATTAATGAATACGAAGATAACTATGATAATAATCTCAAATTTGATTTTAAACACACATTTCATGTTGACAAACTTGATAATGAAAAGATTTAGATAATTACACATAACCTTTTGATTTGTTGAAATTAATAGAACATGAAGATAAGCTAATTGAGCCCTACCAAGAAATTACCAAATTAGTGAATTTAAGGGATGATAAAAATAAAAAATAGGTTAAAATTGGTATGTTTATTTCATTAGTTGATAGGTAAAGGCTAGAAAACTACTCTAAAAATACGTAGATGTGTTCACATGGTCTTGCCAGGATATGCCTAAACTCAATACTGATATTACAGAACATAAATTACCTGTAAATTAGATTGCAAGTCAGTACAAGAAAAGCTAAGGTGCATGAAGCTAGAGATGCTACTGAAAATTAAAGAAGAGGTGAAAAAGCAATTTGACATTGAATTTTAGAGGTGGCAAAATATCTTGAATGGTAGCCAATATAGTGCCTATTTTCAAGAAAGATGAAAAGGTGAGAATATATATCGATTATCGAAATCTGAATAGGGCAAATCCTAATGATAATTTTCCTCTACCCCATATCGATACCCTAATGGATAATACTGCTAGATATTTCATATTTTCCTTTATGGATGGCTTATCAAGCTATAATCAGATTAAGATGGTTGGAGAAGATATGGAAAAAAATAATGTTTATGACCGTGTGAGGGATATTTTGTTACAAAGTCATGCCTTTTGGATTGAAAAATATCGGTGCTACTTATCAAAGAGTGATGGTGACTCTCTTTCATCACTGACGCATAAAGCAATAGAAATGTATATGAATGATATGATTGCAAAATCTCATGAAGGAGAAGATCATGTAGTCAATCTCAGAAAGTTGTTTGATAGGTTGAGGAGATTCCAACTGAAGTTAAATCCTACCAAATGTACATTTGATGCTAAATCAAAAACCTATTGGGCTTTATGGTTAGTGAAAAGAAATAGAAGTGGATCCGAACAAAATATGTGCTATTCAAAACTTATCCCCTCTTCATACCTAAAAAAAATGCGAGGCTTTATGGGAAGATTGAACTATATTGCTTGTTTCATCTCACAACTTACTTACAAGTGCAATCAGATTTTCAAGCTTCTTAGAAAACATGATCTAGGAGAATGAAACGATGAATGCCAAAAAGCTTTTGACAAAGTCAAAGAATACTTGTCAAATCCACTCATGTTGGTGCCATCAGTTCCAAGAAAACCTTTGATTTTATAGTTAACCATGCATGAAAATTCAATGGATGTGTGTTGGGGCAAAGAGATGAAACCAACAAAAATGAGCAAGCAATCTACTACTTGAGTAAAAAATTCACTAATTATGAATCCAAGTATTTTCCATTAGAAAAGATATGTTGTGCACTAGCTTAGATAGCTTGAAGGCTTAGGCAATATATGTTTATCACACTATTTAGCTTATAGCAAAGTTAGACCTTATCAAGTATATCTTCGAAAAACTTTCATTGATAGGAAGAATAGTACGATGGCAAGTTATGCTTTCAAAATATGATATTGTCTATGTAACTCAAAAGGTTATTAAAAAGAGTGCAATAACTGAGTTCATTGCCGATCATGTGGCTAAAGATTATGAACCAATAAAGCTTGATTTTTTGATGAAGATGTGATAGTCATTGAAGAAAATGAAATTGTTAAGAAGTTTTTGAGGATGTATTTTGATAGAGCTGCTAATGCTTTAGGTCATGGTATTAGGGTAATTTTAATATTTCCTAATGGACATTATTATCCCATCATAACTAGATTGAATTTCAACTACTCAAATAATATGGCTGAATACGAGATTTTTGTTATAGGTTTACAAGAAACAATTGAAAGAAAGATCAAAATGTTGGATATGTTTGGAGATTTAGCACTAGTTGTTTATAACTTACGAGGTGAATGAGAAACAAGAGATTCAAAGTTGATCTGCTACCATAAATACATCTCTGAGTTAGTCAAGCAGTTTGAAGAAATTTAATTTGAGTATCTACTTAAAGAGGAGAACCAAATTACTGATGCACTGGTCATTTTGGCTGCAATGATTAAAATAGATGCAAATATCAAGATCCAACCCATCAAGCTGGACATAAAAGATGTACTAGCACATTACTCAGGTGTCGAAGAAGAAGTTGATGGGAAACCATGGTATCATGATATTCTTCAATATATCAAAAGTCAACAATACCAAGAGCATGCAATAAAAAATGATAAAAGGATCATTAGAAGTTTGGCTATGAGTTTCTTTCTTGATGGAGATGTTTTTTACAAAGAAGCCAAGATAAGGTACTTTTAAGATGTGTAAATGTAGTTGAAGCAAAAAAAATTATTGAAAAATACATGATGGGGTTTGGGGGGCACATGCGAATGGTCACATAATGGCTAGATAAATTATGGGTGCTGGCTATTATTAGTTGACAATGAAAAATGACTATATTGATTATGTCAGAAGATGTCATAAGTGTCAGATTTATGCTGACAAGATTTATGCTCTTCCATCAGCTTTGTAAGTTTTAGCACCTCTATGGCTATTTTCTATGTAAGGCATGGATGTCATCGGTCCCATTACCCCGAAAGCTTCAAATGGGCATAGATTTATCTTTGTGATAATTGATTATTTCACAAAATAGGTAAAAGTTGCATCTTATGCTAGCATGACCCAATCGGTGGTATGCAAGTTCATAAAAGAGATAATATACAGATATAAGATTCTAAAAAGGATTATTTCTAAAAAGGATTATTAAGACTTTATAAATAAAGCCAACAATTCATGAAATGCCCTCTTTAATTATCAAGCACAAAGACCAAAGTTGCAAATATTCCAATATACGAGACCAATGGACTAGATCAAACAACCAAGCTTTTGAGGTACAAAGAATGTTACCAGCATAAAAGCTTCTTTTGGTTGAAGGTGGAACCTTAGTGCAAAGCTGAACCTGCCGACTTTGTTTTCCTAATAAAATAGAAATAATGGTACGAAATTATGATCATAAAAGAACATTTCTCTTTAGTAATTAAGTTAAAGGGTATATGCATCACTATAATATTTTACTCTAAATACATATGAGAGTACCACAAGAAAAACTCTTTAGTCCTCTCCAATCAGTCTTAGGGTAAAGGGTACATAAGTCAGTAAATACTTTAATATTTTACAACAAATATACTGGCAACTACCACAAAGCACTCTCTAGTTCTCTTCAATATATTAATCCAAGTACATAGACATGCAATTAAAGGCTGCTTCTCAGTGCAAGTTTGGCCTGATTTAGGTTGTGGCAATGGTAATTAAGAAATAGTTCCAATTTTCAGCACTTTTTGAATGAAATGGCCTTTTCAGCAAGACTTTTGTGCTTGCAAGAGAAAGCTTGGGGCAATATTGCACTGGTAACTATAAATGCAAATCAAACCAGTGATAAAAAAGTTCAAGAGACAGAAGCATACATGTAGCAAGCAAGCAACAAGTCAAAATCATGGCTTATGTCATTAAGAATTCAAAGAACAAGGAGCATACGAGCATCTTCTTTCTTGTATAGCTGCTTAAGCCGATCACTTGCTTTGTTCTCAGCCTCCTGAAAATCCTTCAATTTTGCCTACAATAAATCATCCAACTTTAGTAAGGAAATCCATAAAACTGTGCACACCTTAAGTAAAGGTACATTGCTGGTTCCTCAACATTCCACTAACAACCTAGCTATTAGGTAAGAGGACGGCATGAAAGTAAAGAAAGTTAAAAGATTACCTACCTCATACAACTGTCTCCATCTAAATGAAACTTTCTTGAGCTTCATCCTCTCAATTACAAGAGTCATATTCTGATGACCAAACTGTAGCTCATAGAAATTCTTCCAAAGTTTATCAGTTACTGGAGTAAGATCCCTTCCCTAGAACAATCAATCAATCCCTTTTAAAATTATACATATAATCAGAGCCAAATGCCAATTCTTGCACAAACTATGCAAATCAACTTACTTTTGTACTCTTTTCCACGTGCAATAATTGATCCACTGTACAATGGGGTAGAATACGCTCAAGAAGATGTGAATCTGTCTCACCGACATCCCCAAGGTATCTTACGTTATCTATCCCCGTCCTAACACAAAAGTCTACCAGTGAATGAGGTTTCCTCATATTCGCTATGTTCTTCCATCTCTTCTCCAAATACATATTGCTCTAGGAAAAACCAAAAAAAAAAAAAGAATGCAATGTAGTTAATTTCTATTGTTATGTCATAGTTTTATCAATTTTTAGTTGTTACAAATGGTTAGTCTTGGATTTGCAGATAAAAATCAATCAATTAAAATTATGATCTTATTAGTTGTATAAACAAAATTCAACAATTAGCTCATTTAGTTCATCCAGGAATAATCAACCGAGTCTAACATTCTTTAAAACTGCAATATTCTATCTTTCAACATTTAAAAGATTTTTTTTTTAAAGAAAGAAAATTGTTTCCCCTTTTTCTTTATCCATAAAAAAAGACATTATATAACATAACAAATAATTAATCTAAACAAAATTGAAACCCTGAACAACTATATGACACCGTATTGAAATCAATGAAAAAGGAATTAAAATTAATAAAAAAAACTTCATAGCATCAATTAAATAATAAATTGGATTAAAATTTAAGGAAAAGAGAGCTGATCGATTGATTTCGAAGGAGAAAGGGATTCAATGAATCGAAAGTCAGAGAAGTGATCGATTAACGGATTTTGATGCTAATTTCAATTCAGACGAAGTAAACTTTCTTTATGCCCAGATGAAAAGAGATTTTAGTTCTATGCTAACATGCACCGACTTATCATGTCTAAGTAGGCTGTTCTACCAAAATTCATTTATTTCCAAGATCATCTTCGCTATCGTGCGCTAGGGTGCACGGCTTGGCCTTTTTTTTATCGTTTAACGTAAAAACAAACAAGAGTTTATATATTTTTTAAAAGATATATTTCAGGTTAGGATATATTTTTTATTTAAATTATATCACATAATTATATTATTAAAAAATTAATAATTTATTATATATTATTTGTGATAATTAATTGATAAATATTTATTTTAATAGATTAATTTATTAATTTATAATAAATTAATAATTTAATTTAATAATATAATTATATAACATGATTTGAATAGAAAGAACATATATTAACGTGAAATAATTATTTCATATAACTTTTTTTAAAATTTATATTTAATGTATGTCAATTATCAAATATTAAATATTGATAGCAAATCAAATTATGATATTTTTTAATAAAAAATTAAAAAAAATTTGTGTATTTGTTTTAAGAGTTTTGTAAGAATTATATTTATTTTTTAATTAATTATCATAATTTGATTCATTGATAATATATTAAAAAAGTTTCAAATAAAAAATAATGGTATTAATACATGTTTTAAGTTAACATCGTGTTTGAATTTAAAACAATAAAAAGAATAAGTATAAACATCCTATTTTTTTCGAGAATTTTAAAAGTGTTTTAAAAAAATTTGAATTGAATAATTTTTTAAAGACTTAAAGTAAGATGCATTTATTTTCATATTCATGATTGAACCTTAATCAAGTTGAGTTAGAGTCAATATTTACTTTTAGGTCTTGCAAGACTGATTGGTTCTCAGATTTGCTTTCGAGTTTTTTTTATAGTACCTCAAGGTTTACTTTCACGCTTGGAATTTATTTTGGGTTTAAAAATTATTAGTTGGATTTGAAATTGACAAATTAAGTTTTAATTTTTTTTTAGTAAAAAAAATTTTGGAGTATATAGATTGTTCAGTTCTTTAGATCAAAACAAGATGTGTCATACTTGACAGCTTAAGATAGGTAACTGCAAGTCGTGCATTCGAGACGACTCTAATAAGTGATCACCGACAAGACTTGAACTTAAGATTTTTTCATCAAGATGAATGAACTTAATCAATTGAATCAATCACTTATTGATAATTAAGTTTCAATCTCAAATTTAACTTTAAAACCAAGAAAAATTGGATTACTCATTTTCTTTTTTTTTTATTTCTTTTAATTTTTGTTTCATTATTCTTTTTGATTAATTTTTAATATCAATCTGAAAAATCTTTTTAAAAAAGGAAAAAAAGCCTTCAAAAATGTGCCAAAATTGTTGAACATTTTTAAAAAGTTTGCGAATTTGGAATCAAGAAAAAATAATAAACTTGCAAGGCTTGAAGCAAAGAAAATAAAAGGAAAATCAAAATCAAAATTGGATCCAAATTTCAAATATATTGTTTGATGAAACCCTAGAATTTTTTGATTAAATAAAAAAAGGTATCCAAAAAAAAAAAACTATAGAAAACCATAAGGGAAGGTACAAAATCGTTTTTCAATAAGCAAAACCATAAAATAAAATAAAATTTGATCCTATCGAATATTAAAAAACACTATCTCCATTGATTTTAAAAACACTATCCAATCGTTAAATTTAGTCCACATCACTTTTTTTATTATTTTTGTTAAAATATGAGTTTTACTAAAACTTATTTTTCATTAAACCTATTTCTCTTTTTACTCTATATATATATAATTATTTGATATTCTAATAGTAAAATTTTTAATTTCACAAGCGAGATTAAGATAATTATACATATTTTATTTTTTTAAAATTAATTTTTTTAAATGTATAAATGATATGTATTATCATCTTAATCTCACTTATAAAGTTAAAATTATATTGTTAATATATTTAATAATTTCTCTGTGTATATATATATATATTGGAGTTTTTGCAACTGTGAAACTTTAAATGAAAAAGGCTTGCTATATATCTCCTTAGTTTAATTGAACTTAAACTTAAAGAAGCAAGTGCTAGACTATAGCATGAGAAGCATTAATTCTTACGACTAAAGCCTTGAAGGACTTGTACAGAAAAGAAAACATATCTTGTAGATAGGTTGGTTTTATCAAAATCCAGCAAAACTCATAATTTAGTTTTAATTATTCATTAATTTCCATTTTTACCTTTTTCACGTTTCTTTCATTTTCTCTTATTAACCCACTTGATCCTTCAATTTCTCCCATCTTCTCTATCTATCACCAACTCATACTTTAATCCTTTAATCTCTTACTAATCACCCGATCCAATCCTTCAATCTCTCTCACGCTCCCCTCTCCACTTGCCACTCCACTCCATTTTTCTTTTGTTTCTCTCAACAATTACAAAACAAAATCTCCAAGGAATGCCCAGTAAAAGCAACCCAAGGCAGCAACATTCTCTAACAATCTTAGATGCAAAAAATTGCAACAAGTAATATGATCTCTTTTGGAATTTTTTGCAAGTTTTCATGCTAATTTTGAAGATGATGAAAAGAATTTTGGGATTAAAAAGATTAGTGTTTTCCGTTAGGCTAGATTTTATTGGATAACTTTTATTTATTTTTATTTTTATATTTAATGTTAAATAAAAAAACTCTTGTACTATATATTTTTTTTTGTCATTTTGGTATCTAAAGAAATAAAACTTTCATTTTAATACTTAAATTTTCAATTTTAATACTTCAAACTATTATCGTTATTTAAGTTACTTACGTAATATTAATATCCAACAAAATAATTGCACGTAACATAAATGTCAATTATAGTTATATCATCAACTTTTAGCATTAGCATTTAAATAAAAATTCAAAATTTTTTTTAAAAGTATGTGTCTTAATTCAAAATTAAAAAAATGAAAAAATAAAAAAAAATGAAAGGAAAAGAATCGGGGAGAGAGAAAAAAAAAGGAAAAAAAAGGAGAAAATGGGGGAATGTGAAGGCAAAAGTGACAACGTTGGTAGCTTGTGCCAGATTGGGGCCAATAGGTGATGATCTGCTTCGAATCTACCAACTCAACTCATTTATGATGGATCAATGTTGTTTTGCTGGGTTGGGGGTAGACTGGCCTCAATTCAACCTTAGGCCAGTCATCGACATTATCCATTCCCCCCTATCCTTTTGCTTCCCTTTCTTTCATTCCCCCTCTCTCTCCCTAATCTTTTACTTTTATTTTTTATTTTTTTTAAAAATTATTTTTTTAATTTTTAAAATTTTTTGCTGACATGGCAATAGTTAACGTGATGATAACTAAACATTTATGATACGTGGTATGCTTTTATTAGATATTCATATCTCGTTAGTCACTTAACTAATAACAACAGTGTGATGTATCAAGAGTGCTTGATTAAGTGAAAATTAAAATACTAAAATAAAAAATTTTTATTTTTAGTACTAAACTAATAGAAGATGTCAGTTTATATATTAACCCTTATATTTATTTTTTATTATCTTTGTGATGGCTTGATGGGAGAAAGATGAACATTAGATTATTGTATAAGATTATTTTCTACAATATTTCTTATGTTTTGGTTTTTCTTTTTTTCTTAGTTGTCATACTTTAACTGCTTAAAAATTTACTTTCATTGATTTTGATATTTTTTTACTACTTTTTCTAGTAGGTTTAAGGATTTCTATATTGGGATTTGAGTATTTTAGCAAAATTTGAAAAATAAATTATTGAGTAAGGATTATAAATTGATTATGGGTATTTTGAATTGTTATGTGTTTAAAACCTTAAAGAATAAAAATTTTGGATATTTTAAATTATTGTGGATTTATAATGTTCTAAAATAATAATTTGCGTTTTTTGAATTGATTTGTGTATTTTACATAAAAATAAAAAAGATTTTGCAAAATTATTAATAGTGCATTTAGATGGAGAATTTTGAAATTTTGAAGAAATTTGGAATGAATGCATTTTAAAATGCTAGCATTTGCAATTATTTTGTTTGAACAAGTATTTCTTAAAAAAAAAAATCTATTGCAATTAGATAAGATAAAAACTAATTATAAAAAATAATAATGATATTAAAGATAAAAAATATATATGCAAAATAAAATATGCAATATGGAAATCTTTATATTTGTAAAAATATATATATTATTAATAGTATAAAAAACTAAAAATATATATTAGAGTTAAATAAAATTATATTTATTTTCTTAATTTTGTATTTTATGGTGGATCATTTGTAGTAAAGAGAGAGAGGGTTAGAAGGAATTTTAAAAAACTATTTATTTATTTGGAATTTCAAGCACCTTAAATTTTTTATTAAAATTTCACCTGAATTTTAAAATTCTCTCTCTCTTTCTCTCTCTCTCTCTCTCTCTCTCCAAACAAATAAATTCATTTTTTATTTGTTTAAATTAAAAGAGTGAGTAAATATTTTTTTATTTGGCACATTAAGCTTCTAACCTTAAAGTCAAATAGAAAAATATAATAAATCCTAAACTAAAAAAGTAATATATATATATATATGTATTATATAATCAAATCAAATGCAAAATATAATAAAGCCTAAAATAAACATAATGAAACAATAATTATTTAGAAAATATTTCCTAAAAAGAAATTTTTTTCAAAAGTTAACATTTTAATTTTTTTCTAAATTTTCTTAAATAAAAATAACTATAGATTCTTATGAAAAGTGTTGGGCGGATCTGAAATTTATTTTTATTTGGATATATTTATTATTAAATATAAAATAACAAAATATTAAAAATATAATAAAGCCTAAACTTTCACAAAATAGCACAAAAAACCTAAAACAAAAATACAACAGCATTATATTAAATTTTTTAATTTAATATATTTATAATATTTAACATGTAGATTAAAAATTTTATTATTATTTTTATGTTAAAAACAATCATAAATATAAAAAAGAATAATAAAAAATGTTTAATGAAGATACTTGACCCCAACGAAGTGGGGCCG